CCACGAGGCTCACAATGGCGGTTCTAGCTGCCGGCTCTGAAATTTTCCTTGTCCTCCCTGCGCGCCGGCAAAGGAAAAGGGGGGGGGCAAGCCAGGAGGCGAACGCCGGCTAAAGCGGCCCTTTCGGGCTTTGAGTGCAAGGGGGGGAGGCCCCCGTGCCGATCGGCTGATAAATGTGCTGGGGGTCGGTAAACGACCCGGTGAGCCCCCCGAACCCCTTGGCTGGTCTCCCTAGCCCTTGGGGATACTCTCACCACTCCGATGATCCTCCGTTGGGTGGAGATCCGGTCTGAGCCAGCTGCTAAAGGTCTTGTTATTGCTAATTTCGTCTGGAAATTTAGTCTGGGAAGAGGGAGATTTTGTCTTAAGCTATGGATTTTTGAAGAGCTGAATCTCGCACTGCTATCGGGCTTCGAGACTGAGTCAAAACTGGGGTCACGCCCAGAGGAAGGGGTGTGGCCAAAGTTTTTACCCAGTCTGCCGGGCAGGAAGGCTGTCATAGAACCCATCCATTGGACTCTACAGCCATCCTGCTGGAGAAAAGAATATATGCACCGAATGAGAACCAATACGATTTTTATTATAAATTACATGAGAAATTGATAGAATTGGGTCATTTAAATATTTGTATTGTGGGTGATTATAATGCGGTGGTGGATGCAAAAAAAGATTACATTAGTGATAAGAAAAATAAAAAGAAAAGAAAAATATTACCAAAGACCTTCTTTGATTTGGCACACGAACTTAATCTATCGGATCAGTGGAGAAAGAGAAACCAAGGGAAAAAAGGATATACATTCTTTTCAAACCCACATAAGTCATGGTCTCGAATAGATATGGTATGGGTAAATGAAGAATTAGGACAGGATATAGAGACTATAGAAATAAAACCAAATGTATGGGCAGATCATAATCTGTTGGAAATAGTTTGGAAAGGTCGTAAAAAAGTAAGAAAAAGATGGGTAATGAATTCTTATATTTTGAAGGAAAAAGAATTTATTGTACAGACTAAAAGGGAAATGGATTATTTCTTTAAACAAAACACAAAAGAACAAACATTGGTACAAATTATTTGGGACACAGCAAAGGCGTATTTAAGGGGGCTAGCAATATCTTATATAGCAAGGAAAAATAGGGAGAAAAGACAAAGGCAAAACGTATTACAGGAAGAGATTAAAAAATTTGAATCCAAACTACAAAAAGAGCCCCAGGATGAATCGATTAAAGTGGGAATGGCATTAGCCAAACATAAATTAAATGTGATGGAGCAAGAAGAAAGAGTTAAAGAATTGAAATTGGCGAAACAAAATTTTTTTGAACATGCAAATAAACCTGGGAGATGGCTCTCTTATAAATTAAAAAAAGAGAAAGAGGGAAAAATAATTCAGGAACTTTATGATAGAAATGCAGAGTTACAATATAAAATGGATAAAAAGAAAGAAATAATTCAAACCTACTTTGAGTCATTATATAAAAAAGATGAAATAGATGGGGAAAAGATTAAACAATATTTGAAAGTTAATGATCTGCCAGAATTAAAAGAAGGTCAAAGAGACATACTGAATGGGAAAATAACAGCTATGGAATTAAAAAGGGCGGTGCAAAAACAAAAAAAATAATAAGACCCCGGGACTGGATGGCCTTCCGAGGGAGCTATATAAAACTTTCCACAAAGATTTTGAAAAGATATTACTAGAGGTGTATAATGATGTGTTTGAGAAATCTAATCTACCAGCCTCCTGGATAGATGCCATCATAACCCTTATCCCAAAAGAAGGCACAGACCTCAAACAGATTAAAAACTACAGGCCAATCTCGCTGCTAAATACGGATTACAAAAGTTTTATTAATATAATGGCTGAAAGATTAAAGTTAATTTTACAAAATATAATACATCCAGACCAAAATGGTTTTTTACCCCAAAGACAAATCAGAAACAATATTAGAACGGTGTTAAATGTCCTAGAGTACTACGAAATACATTTAGGAAAACAGGTAGTTTTGATTTTTTTAGATGCGCAGAAAGCATTTGATAGCCTCAATTGGCAATTTATGTTTCAACAGATTGAGGATATGAAATTTGGTGAGAAATTTAGTAACATAATAAAGGCAATATATAGAACACAGAGAGCTAGTGTGACAGTCAATGGAGAGAATACAAAAAGTTTTGAAATAAACAAAGGGGTAAGACAAGGATGCCCAATTTCACCTTTACTTTTTATTTTGACGCTTGAAGTATTATTAGTTCAAATTAGAGCAAATAAAGAAATAAAAGGGGTACAGGTCAAAGCAGAGGAATATAAGTTACAGGCATTTGCTGATGATCTGGTTTTCTTTATTAAGGAACCTATAGATAGAGGAAATATTCTTATGGGTGAAATAGAAAAATTTGGAATAGTGGCAGGATTAAAAATTAACAGAGAAAAGACTAAAATGTTAGCAAAAAATTTAACCGATAAACAAAAAAGGAAATTGGAAGAGAATTTGGGATTACAAGTAACGAAAAAGATTAAGTATTTAGGAATTTGGATAACTTCAAGGTGTTCCTCAATAAAAGAAGACAATTATACAAAATTGATATTAAAAATGAAACAAGATCTTGAGACTTGGGGGAATCTCCAATTATCATTATTAGGCAGAATCACATTGACTAAAATGAATATTCTACCAAGATTATTGTATTTATTTCAAACAATTCCAATAAAATTAGAGAAAACTTTTTTTAAAGAATTGGATAAAATAATAAATAAATTTATTTGGGCGGTCAAAAAACCTAGGATAAATATCAAAACATTACAAGACAGTAAGAGTAGAGGTGGTCTTGGACTCCCTAAATGGGAAATCTATTATTATGCGGCAGGATTATTATGGATTAAAGACTGGATAAACTTGGATAATGAAAGGATACTAATGATAGAAGGACATGATCTACAGGCATGCATTTCTATGGGAGAAACAGAAGAAAACATAAACATATTTCCAGCAACATCAGATAAGAGGAGCATTGATCAGGATATGGGAAAAAATAAAAAAAAGACACTATGGGAAAATTCCAAATTGGTTCTCGCCGATGGATGCAGTGATTCATCCCAATACATTAGAGAAAAAAAAGATGATTAGGTATAAAGAATTACTGGATAACCGAGGAAATCTCAAGTCAAGAGAAGAGTTGGAGGAACAAAGAATACCCATAGATTGGTGACCGTATTTATAAATTCAATCTAGATATAATAGGGATAGGCAAGAACATGGAACTAGTCAGACCCCACACCCACTTGATAAAATTCTAGTAAGTAAGGAAGGAAAACTATTATCAAAAATTTATAAATACCTATTAGAGATAGAATTAAAGGAAGAAAGAGTGAAGGGGCCAATGATAGAGTGGGCACGAAATGTGGGGCAAAATATAAATTTAGAGGAATGGGAAAGATTATGGAACATAAATTGCAAATTGACGCTATCAACTGCATACAGAATCATTATAAAATGATTTACAGATGGCATTTAACACCGGCGAGATTGGCTAAAATGTATAAAAATATAGACCCGAAGTGTTGGAAATGTAAAATCAGAGAAGGAACATTTTATCACATGTAGTGGCTGTGCCCCAAAGCAAAAAATTATTGGGAACGAATAAGAGATTGGATACAGGATATAACGGAGATACAAATGGATTTTAAACCAGAATTATTTCTTTTGGGCATAATAAATTTAAAGATGGAAAAATAACTCCAACATATCATTATACACATATTGAATGCAGCTCGTATAGCATATGCTCAATGTTGGAAGAATGAAAATATTCCCACAAATGATATGATTATGTACAAAATCTTGGAATGCGCAGAAATGAATAAACTTACGTTAGAATTAAAAGACAAGGAGGCGACAGAATTTTATGAAATTTGGAATAAATGTTATAATTGGCTAGAACAGAGAAAGGAAAAGACATAATTATTGATGCACATAAAATGTAAATAAGATGTAAAGAATGCTTAAAATGTATACTACTATTCTGTTAAAAGAAAAAATGTATGTTTATGTATTTTAAGTTTGTTTGGATGTATGGTATATGGTGAAAAATAATAAAATAATAATAATAAAAAGAATACGTGTCCGTGTAAATTCGATTCAAATGTATATTTCCTCTTCTCTTACCTAATGCCTCAATTTGCTAGGCTTATTCATTTCTAACCCATTTTCTGCGTTTTGCATAATGAAAAGGAATAGTGTAATAGAAATGCCAAAGAAAAAGCAGGGTCATTGCTTCTAAATGTCTGTGGAGATTCTCAGTCATTCAGGCCATAGTAATCCCAAAGATGCTTTTTGTGGCGCCTTCTTGGGTTTGTTCTCCGTCAGGACAAGAGTCAGCAGTCCATCTGCATTTAAAAGACAAAGGCCACACTTTTGAAGATAGCAAAGTCCACATTTTGGACAGAGAGGACCACTGACTTGAAAGAAGGGTCAAAGAGGCCATCTATGCCAAAACTGAACAGCCCTCTCTCAGCAGAGGGGGAGGGATACGACATCATCTATCTCCAGTTTACAATACAGTCCTTTCAACAGTTCTAAGGCAGCTCCACACGCATTTGCACTGCTCAGATGACCCTGAGGACACAAGTAAACTGCCAAGTGGCCTTAACAACTCTCTAAAAGAATGCAAATGACCAGCTGTCTGCAAGGAGCATAAATCCTTCCATTCCCCACCATCCAGTCAGAGCTAAATTCTTGGATGAGAAGTGAAATAACTTCAAAGAAAAACAAAGAAAGTCCAGTTGCCTTGTGAAAAAGCATCTTTGGAACTCATTGCTTCTAGTCATTTTGAAGTACCAATGAAATGGGATTGTTAGTTGATATATTGAGAAAAGACATCAACTGCATCAAATTTTCTATTCATTTCTTTTCCTTTTGGCAGAAGGTCAGCTGAATGTTATTGTTGAGAAAAGTCAGCCTGGCTTAAATCCAGAGGATTTCCTATAGAGAAAGACACCACAGAAACATTTTTCTTTCAGAGATTTTTTTGGGATCTATTGTAATTGGAATAATATTTTACAAGCACTCAAATCTCTGTAAAAAGCAGTTTTAAGGACTAATTGTGTAAGATCATAAGTAGGAAAATTACAGACAGAAATGCATACATTGATAAGGGTCAAAATCTAAGGTAACTCTTAGGGAATGAGAAATGAGAAGAACATTATATTTAACCCTGTATTTAAAAAACAACAACAAAGAAACATTAACCAAGAAACATTCTCTTCTTCAATATTCCTTCATATTAACATCCCACCTGCCTTCTGCTTTGAAACTCACAGACAACTGAGAAAAGAATCTATATCTGGATATTTTGCAAGGATTTCTGAATGTCATGATCCATTTATTATGATCCCCCTCCCCACTTTATCTTTCAAATGCTTCAGATCAATTTTGGGGTACTGGATAAGAGGAAACGCTCAGTCTACTGATTTTTGTTTTGTTTTGATCCAACAAATCCCTTCTACTCAGTCTGCTACTGATGTACTGTCCACTGAACCATCCTTGCTTGGTCATTTTCTACTAGAGATACTAGAGATGGAATATTCAAACCTACGTAACAAAGGATTTGGTTTGGTCGTCCAGAGACAAAAAAAGAAAACTTAATGAAAAACAGAAACATGTTTGTAGGTCAGTAAGCAAACCAACTATCAAGATAAATGTCAGAGTGGACTCAAATTTCTGCTTAGGTATTTTGAAGTAAGCCGTGTGGCTCAACAGTCTTTGCCTCCCAAGGTTTGTCTTTCAGTGCTGTAATGAAGAACAGTCCCTCCACTGAAGAAGACCTTCCATCGTGGAGCATCTATCACGATGCAGAGGAAGGCAGGAGAATTCAAGATTCTTGCCAGTTCAGTGGTGCAGCCAAGCTCTTTTGTCTTCTGGTGATTATTGCTTAGGCATGGCAAAATCCCAGGCGGTCTCTTGAGCGCACTTCCACATAGCCCTCATGAGCCGTGTGAAGCCCATGTCTTTGGGTTTCTCCAAACCCCTCATAAGCCTCTGCTTCATGATAGCAACAAATTCCTTATTGCTCAGCTCTCCATTTCCTGAGGGAAGGAAAGGGAAGAGTAGTTCAGACAATGGGAAATGTAAACAAGCCAACTAATAAAAAAATAACTTGCAGCAGCCCTGCCCAAATGTTTAAGTCATTGAAGACTAATTTCTACTGAATCTGCATTGGCCCATTTTCCTTCTTGATCAGAAACGTTAATTTCATGTGTGATGTCTAAATAAATTATGGTGGAACACTGGTTTAGTTCCTACTAGTGTCACTCCCTCCCCAAAAGAAAACCACCAGGATTTTTTTTAAAGAAAAAACAGGGTTATTTGTTAAGTGAAAGCATAGTCAGCAATTTTTTTTGTGGCCCAGCTCTGTTTCTGTTTGTTATTTTAAGCAGAGACTCTCTTGTTTTTCTAATTATCTTTGCTCATTATCCACATTTGTGATTCAGAAATACTATATTTCTTTATGGAAATAATATTTTATTGCTACATGGCTATGGTCATTCTTGTTCACTATAACTGGTGGGATGGAAAAAGGGAGACTTTTGGAGAATTAAAAAACAAAAAGCCTTATTCTCATAGACAAATATATGTCAAATATATGTAGATATAGACAAAGCCAACCTACAGTAATATACAAAGCCCATTGTCATGACTAAATGAGAATCTGGCCCTCAAATTATTATCATGAACTCTGATTGTTAAGAAAGTGAATCTAATCATGGTTTTTCACTGAAGTAGTGCCTTGATGATAATATGGAGAAATATGTTATTTTTCAGCAGACCTTGAAACTTGTAATTCAAGATAAATAATAAAGTAGTACAATACACTTCTTCACTTGTACTCAGTAATGAAAGCAATTCCTGCCTGAATTAAATTTACCAGCAATTGAAACCATGCTAACAAAATAGGTACATAGGTTTACATACACATATACTGTAATTAACTTCAATTTCCCATACTATTCTTTTATGTTGCATATGTATGCAAAGGTATTTAAAGAGATAGAACAGGAATGTTTTTTCCTCTTATGTTCAAATGAAAGAGTTGATGATGCAAGGAAAAACAATACAAGTTGGCCTTGATCAATGCAATTAATTAATCCCATGAAATTATCATCACATTTGAATTTGCACCATTCAAAGTGACATTTCTATGAAAAATATGGTAATTGCTTCCAGCTTGAAGAAAACAGACAGTAAGAAATTTTAAGCATAAATATTTATATGTATATCAATGAAATAGTACCACAAAGGATAAAAAAATATATTTTAATCTAAATTTATGGCCTACAAAGTCAAACTATAGAAAGCAAAATGAAAACAAAGGAATTCTATTGCAGATTTCAGGCATTCCAATATCTTGTCCTATTTTAGAGATGCTATGACCTCTCTGACACTGTTCAATTACATCAAATTTTGTTTTAATGTAGCAATAAGCCTTTTTATAAAAAAAAGTAATGTTTTTCTCTGATGGAATCTTTCTTTTTTTCCATTTTGCACGCATGAAGATTAGCAATGTCTAAGACTCCAACCGCAACTGTGCAGGCACAAGGCTAATATTAACAGAATTTTGGGCTGCATTAGACATTGAAAATTATAATAATTATATCAAACATATATGCTTAGGGACTTTCTGAGAGTATCCAGTTTTGCCATTTTGCAAGGATGCAGTTAGAAGCTGAGAGATCACAACTCTAAAATAACTTCTCTCTTTTTATGCGCAATAGGGCTTATTGGCTTTTATTCAGCAGCTGAGCAAATATGTTGCAAATGTCTTTTATGCTACAGGTAGTCCTTGACTTACAACAGTTCATTTAGTGACTATTTGAAATTATAACGGCACTGAAAAAAATGACTTATGACTGTTTTCACACTTAGAGCATTGCAGCATCTCCACGGTCAAATAATCAAAATGATGGCTGCAGTGTCCCAGGGTTATGAGATCAGCTTTTGTGACCATCTGACAAGCAAAGTCAATAGGGAAGATTCACTTAATAGCTGTGCTACTAACTTAACAACTGCAGTGATTCACTTAACAACTTGGTAAGAAAGATCATAACATGGGGCAAATTTCACTTAATAAATGACTCACTTAGCAACAGAATTTTTAGGCTCAGTTGTGGTAAACTGAGAACTAATTGTATTTTCTGTTTCCCCCCCAAAAAATTACAACTTAAATTGTTAGGTAAATGCAGTTATTTCTACGTTTTCTCAGTTCCCTGAATCTATAACATTATTTTCATCCAAAATAAATTAGGTTAAGCTAAATGTAATGCATTGCTAAGCTGGCATGCGGAAACACAAAAAAAGAAACATCTCGGTGAAAAAGAAACATCACTAATATGGATTACCCAACCAAAATTTTGTTATAGTTATTAACCAGAAATCCAACATTATAAATAAATAATACCCGACGCAGAATAAAAGAGTCAACAATTTTCATTTGTAAGGTTACTATCGTGTATGGTCATTCTCTGCCTAGCTGAAAAATACATGACTTTAGGAATTTATCAGCTACAAAATTGTTCAGATGACTGGGAAGATTTTTAAAGTAATGGCTGGAGCAGCAATTGTTTTATACCATTCTGTTTGGTGTAGTGGTTAAAGTTTAATTTCTCTTCTGCAGTTATAATTTATTTCAAGAGGAAAATCAACATGAACATCTGGTTTTAAGCCAAAGGTTGCTCTCAGAGAAGTATGAAATAGGAAAGTAGGTTCTGCTCGTTTAGTAGACGTTGTGTTAAAGGCAAGTCAAGTAAAATGTTCAAAAAATCCCTAATTAGATATTGTAATCTTACTTTATTATACTTCTTGCCTTGTGTTTTTCTGCATTATAACTCACTCCTTTTTTTTTTAGTAAGTAATCTACCCAGACAACTCTTTTGTCATTAGGTAGTTTAAAAAATAAATAAGCAAGAGGGTTTCTTTGTCACTTCTGTTTAGATTTAGATTACTGTTTGGCATATCACAAGCAATATGTCATAGCAATAGCACTTAGACTTATATATTGCATCATAGTGCTTTACAACCCTCTCTAAGTGGTTTACAAAGTCATCATATTGCCCCCCCCCCCAGCATAATCTGGGTCCTCATTTTACTGATCTTGGAAGGATGGAAGGCTGAGTCTGGTGAGATTCGAACTGCTGAACTGCACTCAGTCAGCAGAAGTAGCCTGCAGTACTGCATTCTAACCACTACGCCATCACAGCTCACTGGGATGCTATCCCAAAACAAGAAAACCAATATGAAACAGTGCTTCTGAACAGAATAGCAATTTTCAATACAGGTAGTCCTCAACTTACAACAGTTCATTTAGTGACCATTCAAAGTTACAATGGCATTGAAAAATATGACTTATGATCATTTTTCACAGTTACCACCTTTGCAGCATCCCCATGGTCATGTGATACTTGACTCTTATTTATGACCGTTGCTGTGTCCCACGGTCATGTGATCCTCTTTTGTGATCTTCTGACAAGCAAAGTCAATGGGGAAGCCAGATTCATTTAATAACCATGTTACTAACTTACCACCTGCAGTGATTCACTTAAAAACTGTGGCAAGAAAAGTTGTAAAATGGGGCAAAATTCACTTAACGAATGTTTCACTTAACCGCAAAAATTTTAGGCTCCATTTTGGTTGTAAGTATGCAGAACAGCAGTCCATTTAGCCATGGATTTTGAAAACTCTATCTGCAAAACTGAACATAGTTGGCTCTCTAAATAGGTTAATGTTTTAGTTCAACGTGAGCAACCTTTTAAGAATTTTACATTTAAGAAGCTATTACTGGGAGTTTGAATTAAAGCTAACTCATGCAATGAAACCTTGGATTTTTCCTGAAATTTGTCCCATTGTCTTCTTCAGCTGGATGTATGCAGCTGTAGCTTAGGTAAGAAATTTTGTGTGCAGCACGTCATACTGCATATAAAAAGGCTTGCATATATCATAAATAAATAATTCCAATGTTCTCCAAAGCAGGGAATTTTTTTGGGGGGTTAGGTGTTATGTACAGATAATTTAATGAAAAAGATTGAAAGGCAGAAGGGAGTGTTACCAACAAAACAAATTATTAATCAACTCTGTCATCCAGTGGCCTACTTTAGAGTCAAGATTTTGAAATCCCAGGCTAATTTTTGTTTGCTTTCCCCAACCTTCTTATCAGAAGAAAAATAAACAATTTAACAACTTTAATCCCAATGCACTTGGCCTCAGTTAAGAAGCAGCTTGTCTTTTCCAAAGTATTATTTACAGCAAAATGGTCCCTCGTTCAGGGAGATGACTAACATGGAGCCCTTGAGGACTGATTTTCAAATAATCTTCTGTAGCAACCTCTTAAATTTATGTTCACCTACTTGCTGCCTTCTAGATATACTGAACTCCCATTAGAATGAAGGTAATGATTTCAGCTTGGGGGAGATTAGTTTAAAACTAGCCCTACTTTTGTACTTTTCCCAAATTGGTAATAATACTGAACTTGCACTGTTTATATAGGAAAGCTAATTCTTGGTCACATGTTTCCATTTTGATTGCAAGGATTTCATTTCTGCTTTTCTATGGAATCTCCCTAGGTAAAAGTAAAAGTTTCCCCTTTCCAGTCATGTCCGACTCTAGGGGTGCTGCTCATCTCCATTTCCTATCCGAAGGAGCCAGCATTGTCCGAAGAAAATTTTCATGGTCATGTGGCCAGCCTGGCTATATGCCACAGGTGCACGGAATGCCGGTACCTTCCCACCAAAGTGGTACTATTTATCTACTTGCATTTGCATGCTTTTGAACTGCTAGGTGGACAAGAGCTGGGCAAGAATGGGAGGTGGGGTCTTGAACTGCCAACCTTCTGGTTGACCAGCCCAGTGTCTAAACTACTAGGCCACCAGGCCCCTTATGAATGCTCCCTATACTAAGATATTGAGCCTTCCTCTTGTCTGTCCTTTATCTTAACTTACATTTAAAAAATACATTTGGATTCAGAATATTAACAAGCTGCAACACAACCTAAGTAGCTTGGACTTCTTAGGAAGTTTACAAGCAGAATAGAACAGCA